GCTGGAACGGACAAACGTGACTGGGACATTCCCTCCAGACATCCAGCATTTTATAATGTCTGCAACTTTCGGACTAATATTTTGTCATTGTTTGCTGAAGGACAAATTGAGGGCGATTGCAAAATATTCGAGATGGTGCATAGCCGCGTACGTTAGTTAAATGTCCTGTTTCCTGTAGTTATGGTATTGGGACTATGAGCAGCAGCTATAGCAAGACTGTTATCAGTTGGATGAAATAAGTTGTTCCACTCTGTTCAGTAGCTACAGTGAGAGAATGTTCTGATCTGAATACACTACAATGTTCAACATGATAAACTGTTCCACTAGTAGGGATGCACCAATCCAAGTCTTCTGATAAATAGTACCAATCAGAGACAAGTACTCGTAAAACCAATGTTTAACATACCCTCACTACGTCTGCCTGTTCACCGTGTACAGATGTTCTTACACCAAACATGCATTAAAGTCTGCTGCAAGTTGGATTTATTTCGTTTGAAAAGTGGTATGAAAATGCCTTATATTGCAGGTTTCAAAGATTTAAAACCTGTTGACATGACAAGTTCTGAGGAGAGACTGCATGTCTCTGCATCCTCTTTTCTCTTACATACAAAACCAAACCAACCATTTAGTCTTTTTTTAATCAAAATCTTGTGGGTCTGCAAATGATCACCAATAGCAGCCCAGTTGAATTGGTTTGTTAAAATGACCCATTAACATCCACGCTCTTCCCCGTGCTGCTGTGGCTCTGCGGGCTGTGGGGCCATCCCTACTAGGGCTGCACCATTTGGAAAAAAACACGTATTGTTTTGATTCAAATTGGTATTGCAATATGACGTGATATAAGAGGGTATAATCCTTTTGAACATCATTCACATTATCATTGAAAAATAGATACAAATGATCGTGGTGTGATTTATTTTAGGGGACCTGTATGACAAGATTTGTGTAAAGTATACTTCTCTGCAGCTCCACAATACTTCATTCAGATATTTCCACATATTTTGCGACTTTGATCAAACTTTCCTTAATAGTGCAGCCCGGACCCCCACACACACACACTGAGTGGTTGTGAGTTTCCCAGGTTGGATCCTGTGGGAATCACAAAAACAGCTTGAGGTCCAGATTCACTGTGACCACGAGGCTGAGGGGTTCTGCTACCTCTGAACGCCAGTGTCTAATACATCCTCTTCTATGTATATTTGGGGGGGCGGGGTATGGACGGCTGATAGTACTGCGGTGAATGGGATAACTGTGAGATGATGAACATGCTGTGCAAACAGTACCATTACTGTTGATATGGATCAAATCCAAACCCTCTGAAAACTTTCCCACAACAGTGCTCGTTGCCTATTAAAAATAATAATATACAAATGCTATGTTAAAACAACTTTCGCAAAGAACCCTTCATCTAACGGGTGTCTGACTCCTGGACCGAGAGGCCGGAGCTGGAACTCTTTACACTGTAAACGAATGGACCGCAGCTATCACCCGGTGGACTCCGCATCGTGTTGTGGTCCCACACCACCCATGCTGTTCTGAAAGGAGCGTAAGGCCTTCATAAAGCAGACTACTTCACATACCTGTCCTCTGAATCCATCCGGCTGAGAGGCTCTCCGATCGACGAGGTCCCCTCCATGCTGGCCGCTCTCTTGGTGCCGTGCTCGGCTTTCTCCGTGCTCTTTGTGCGGTGGGCTGGCGAGGAGGAGGACACGCTCTCCCCCTCTCTTTGTTCTTGTCTCAGCACCCGGGAGCCCTCTTGTGCGGAATCAGTGCTACTCGCCAAACTCCCTTGTGCGGGACTTTTCCCCGGTTCAGAGAGTTTACCGTCGGGTTCCCCTCCGTCGTTGTCGGGGTTTTTGTTCGGTAATGCTGTTTCTTTGTCAGCGTCTGACACAGAAGACAGGCTGTCCCCGTCCTCCGCCGCCACACCACGACCGCTCGCGTCCATTCCTGCTCTGTTCTCGTTGTTGTCGCCCGGTTCCTGTTTGGGGTCCGGCACGGCCTGTCCCTCATTGCCGGTTTCTGCTGTTTCCCCGGTTCCGTTTTGATTCGACGTCGGCTGAGAATCTTGTTCGGCACCCTCGCTCGTTATTTGAGCCATTTCGTAGAGCACCAAAGCTATTATTGTGATGTTCCAATGGAAAAGTTGCCCTCAGGCTGCCCTTCTTCCTCCACTCACACTCTCCGCTTCAAGCGTAACACAGCAGGGGGTTTGATGACGTCGCGGCTCCGCATGGCCAAAGGTTGTGTATTCAGAAGATCTCTCACTCAATACGTCCAACAATAACTTTGCTCATAACGCTGCATAGAGTGCATCTCTAAACGGCATTATTCTACTTGTTACATATGGTTTAAATCTTGAACTGTAACGTTGCGGTGTAGTTTACCTTTTCATATGTGTAAACAAAATACACATTTTCATATTAATAACCATGAATTTCGCTACAAAACAATTTATACACAGAAGTGTTTTTTGCCAGGCTAGTTCGGGGTAACGTAAAATGAATTAGGCTTTTCTAAAGTAGCTAATCTGAAACTATTTATTTTCCTTTCATATTCAGTATCGAGCCAAGTGGAATGTCTAATCTGATCAATAGTAAAAACATGTAGGGTACAATTATTTATTTGAAGAATAAAAAAAGGAAATAGGTGCGTTGGGGAGCAGACTGAATGTGTGTCACCTTCGTATCAATAGACGATCTTCGGCATTGTGGCCTCTCAGCTCCACGTGTTCCGACAAACAGAAAATGACCCAACTCAAAAAGTGCTGAAAAGGCACGTTCTTATCTCAGCAAGGTGCATATTCCTGCAGGCACCACAACTCTCCTTAGCCTGCTTTAGCTTTCTTGACTTTACCACAGCCGTTCTTGTCTTGAAATACCACTCATTCTCTCGTTAATCTGAACCATGCTGATTTTAGTGGCCAACTTGTTGCATTGAAATTGAGGCCTGCTTCTGTACTGCCTGTGCAAAATGGAGAAAAAGTGCTCACTTGAAATATCAAAGTTCAGGTATATAATGCTACATTTTAGTCCATATACCTTAACCTGGATATTGATTGAGTCGTGACAGAAATCTTAAGTAGAATTTATTTATACATATTTTTTTGGGAAAACAATCTCAAGATCGTCTCCTTTTTTTTACTACCATATAATTTGTTTTTCACAAGAAACACTTGATTTTCTTTAATACAAGTACTGTGTCTTAACATTTAACATGATGCCAACTATGTTGGAGTGTGGATGAGCGGAAGACACTTTTTTTATTTTTCATGGAGGCACACAAGCGTCCTGGCCCATTTACCTCTCCTGGTGTTTAGTTGCTCGATGCAGGTGATGTTTATGAGCTCATCAAAAAGCGTGAAGAAAGGGCAACACTGTCGATGGCCATGCGCTAGAGGAAAAGGTGCTTAAATACCAGTGATGGTCTGGTTCCTGTCAGTGGGGTTGAGATACATTATTTCATCCTAAGTATATTTGGCCAAAGTGCATTTTACACAGAACAGTGAACAGAAAGTGCCCCTCCAGCTGATCAAAAGCCTTTTCCGCAATACCAGGTATTTCACGGATTTGGCACAGTGCATAATGTTTAGGAATCTTCTAATATTATCTATTAAGAAACTATTCTATTTTTCATTACATATTTTGTATTCTGATCATGGCAAAAGTGAAATTGGCCAATATGAAGTGTAGGGTCCTGTGGCATGGCCCCATTGTCCTTTGAATACATCTTTTTTTGAAAATGAATAATTATTTTAGATAATAATTTGAGTTCACTTGGTGGAGAAGTTTTGATAGAGTTCAATTGTGAATCAGTGTAAGACCTGAACCTACTTTGCCAATATTGCATTTGAGATGTCTGTGTTGAAGAGCCCATCTTAGCTGGGCTTTTTCAATAAGGTTGATGACGGGAGCATTTGGGTTTGTCAGGAAGTGTTTGCATGTCCAATGCATTAAAGGTGGCCTTGCACACTTTTATATTTTTAAGGTGTGTATTCTGTTGGTGAGAGGACTTAAGTTGTAGTTGATGTGCCACCTGCATTGACTTGGTCACTTACAACATTCTCTGCATTATTGAGCTTATTGTATTTTTTTTTCTTTTTGACATGTATATAGTTTACTTCATCTGCATTGGTCTAGCAACATATCTGCACTATTCTATTCTACTCGGTTTCATTTTGCACTATTTTTGAATTGTTATCTTTGTAATTGTCTTATTGTCTTATGTATGTACTATGTTGTATTGCTGGACGAGCTCGGGACTTCAGATTTGCATTGCCACAACTACACTGTAGCTAGGTGCATATGACAATAAAGCTTTTGAATCTTGAATCAGAGTGGACCAGCTTTATCCCAATGCTCATAGATGTGTGATTACAGAAACAGGTGATAATATGATAATATTTCATATTTGGCTAACTTACTTTTAAGAAAATAGAAACACCAACGGTCGGATGATATCAAAGACAAATCAACAAGACCAAGCAGAATGTGGGAAACCGAGGACGGCTTGTGGAAGCCAGACTGCAAACAGTGTTGAAACACATGCTAAGGATGGAGTATCAATATTCTTGGTTACTCATAATCGGACACACCCCTAAGGTCTTACAGCAACATGGATGAAATGAGAGATGTTAGAACTAGATCTGAAAGCAAAGGGTCATTTGATAAGCAGACAGCAAAAAAACAACGACAACAATAATATTTAAAGAACATCAACATTTATTTCACATGATATAAAACACATGGGTATGAACTTTTTGCATATTTACCCTAATAATATGAATAATAACCTCTAGTTATAATTTTCGCTCTTATTATTTTCAGTGTGTACATAAATTATGCTATCTTGTTTATTATATTTTTTTACAGTTTATACATCTCTTTTAAATTCATGTTATGTCCTGGAGCTCCAAAGTCCTACTTATTGCTTCGTACATGTGCTATTCTCCAACTCTTCAACACCTTGAACAGATTTAAACTCCAAAGATCTAATCAGTGTCATGTCCTCAGCATCTGTGTATCTTCTAAGTACTGTAAACCAAAAAGAGATGAACTCAAATAGACATGAGAAGCAGACGAGAAATGTAAAACATTCACATAACGTGTGTGAACAGCCTGCTCAACATAAATAATCAAAACTTCTGCAAAATACTTAGTTCTGTTCAAAAGAGTCAGCAGCATGAAGTGGCACCTTGTTGAAGTAAAAATCTGCTTTATGTTCATATATATACTTTTTATATATTTATATATGTATATCCAATGAAGGACAATCTCTTATGTTGCAGGTGCAAAATAAAAATCGAGTGATAAGGGAGCCTTGGGTTTGAAGACAACACAGAATGAATGTGAGAGTACCTGGTAAAGTAAAGCTCTGGTGCTGAGCCCATTTGAGGGGACACTTCCCCAGGACACCCCCTCCAGCTACTCACAGCCAATACCCCCCGTCCACATCAGTAGAATGTTCTTATTATATAAAGATAACTTTAATACTTAGTTAGGTATCTAAATGTATGTGTATTGATGTGTGTGTGTTTACATTTGGCAGGTGATATCTATGGAGCTTTATCACCCCCAAAATAAGTGCTACATACAGACAAGATTATGAAATGGTTTAATGTTTAAAGCAATAAAAACATCATCCTCTCTGTTACCTCATTCACACCAACAGTGTTTCAGGGCCGGTTCGGAGCTGGAGCTTGAAAAGCACCAGGTTTTCCTGTTCACAGCGCAGCGGAGCAGCCTCTTAGCTCCGGAATCCGGTTCGTTTCGAGCACCAAAAAATTGTCCGACTAGAGCAAAAGCACCGCATACGTCACGCTTACGTCGAGGCAGGGGCAGGGGCGGGATCAACTCCTGAACAACAACAAAAAGCCGGCGTTTTATCCAGTTTGTACACAACGATGGAGAAACTTAACAAGCAGCAGTGGTCCACTGAAGAGACCAGGTACCTACTGGGAATCTGGTCTTCTGAAGAGGTACAGAGGAAGCTGGAGCACAATCGGCCATTGTTGTTGTTGTCGGTGTCAGCTGTGAGGGGTTTCCGCGCGGTTTGGCTTTATGAAGCAGGCACGCAAACGGTTACGTCATGACGCAAACAATGACGCAATGACGCAGCACCAGTCGGACTCTGGGCGGTGTGAAAAGAGCCGGAGCTAAACCGAAGAACCGGTTCTGAACCTAAAAAGCTCTAGCACGGAGCTTGAACCGGAGATGCGTTGGTTCGAATGAGGTATGTGTTGATATCAGCCTGAGCTAAAGCCAGGGAGAATAATTGAAGCCTTTTTGTGCTTTCATTCACACTGACTGCAAACGTGGCATGATCAACATTGAACAACAGATGCTAACTGAGTTTATTTGTTTGTTCTGTTGATTTGTAAGTGGTGATGTTCTTCTCTAAACAGGATTAGCAGCTTCTCTGAACTCCACTTTAATACAGAGTGCTTTTCTTCTTCGCACAACATACTTATGACTACCCACCGCCATTTCACATCTGATGTCAATACTTTTTTGAAAATGTGACCCAATTGATTGCACTGTTTTCTAAACTGTTTTCTAACAATCTCTCTCAANTGTTTGAATGCGTACATTAACAGGTTTATGATATGAAGCCCCGTCTAAGACACGATCTGACTTTAATTACATTTGACTCAAGTGTTTCGTCAACTTAATGTGTTGCTTAAAATAATACTTCTGCATACAGTATGTGATACTGTAAGTGTTGCACGGCCAGATACGGCTCAGCTGACTCAGATAAGGAAATATATGATACATTATGATGTGATATGATGTGATATGAATGATAATGGGACACATCGACGTCTGCACTCACAGTGCCGCGGACTGTACGTAATGTTACTCTGATCCGGTTACTTATGTTGTGGCAGATATTTAAGTAAGCTTTCTTAAACGCTAATGTTATATTAGTCAGATTGCTCTGAAGATGGGAGGTGATATTCTATTCATTTTCACGTTCACACAGTCGGTTGATTTCTGCCGGCCGTCTTTCCTGCAACGGCAGTTTTTCTGTATTTTTCTTAATTTCCTTTCTCCTGTAATATAACTTGATCGCTTTAAACTCCGCACACTGAGCTCTGATTGGTCAGCAGGCGGTGCTTTCACTGAGTTGATCTCTTATCCTGGAGCCTAACCTGCTCCGGACCATGGCTATCTGTTCAGCATAAGTTACCATGGAGATCTAGCCCGCTAAGAAGTGAACCAGCGTCGTAGGAACGGAAACTCAGAGTTTTCCCTGAAGTTAGCTCGCTAAGTGAAAATCCGGCTTCGTAGTACGGGCCTCTGGTCTACTTTGTGAATTTGACAATTAGTGTTCTATTAAGGGCACATTAAGGCAAAAAATGATGGACATGAATGGGTGACATCAGCAATGGAAGAAGGCAGTCAGAAGCCAGAGGCAGCTGAAGGGGTGTGAGAACACACACACACACACACACACACACACACACACACACACACACACACACACACACACACACACACACACACACACACACACACACACACACACATACCTGTTTTCAGTAGTGGTGTTTGTTGGCGAGCTGGTCAGATCTTGCTCTCTGCTTTCATCATCCTCAAAAGGATTTACAATCTCAACACGCTGAGGCTTCGCACACAGGTCCACTATCACCACCCTCTGACTCACACACAGCTGAAACACACACACACACACACACACACACACACACACACACACACACACACACACACACACACACACACACGCATCATTGTTACCTACTGACATGTATATTTTGTGGTAGCAAGATATCAATTTTTCCATGGCATGTTATTTAAAAGATGTGATCTTGGCAAACACTAAAATATGTAGTTATATTTAATGTTTAAAAACAATGGTAAATTAGCGAATATTTTGTTAAAAAATCATCTGAGAACAAAAAGGATAAATAAATACACGAGGAATACATTCCTATTTGAAAAAGAAAAAATATACTTTTATATAATATATTGAAAATATACAAATTAAATATTTCTTTTTTAAATGAACTACTGAGTGAATAAGTTATTAAGTAATAAATGATGACGTCTCTGCTGTGGAGTGAAGGTGGAGAGTCTAATCCAGAGAGGCTTAATCCAGGAGATACAGATTTTTCAGCTACCACACCCCCACACATTTTCTTGTCCCAGATTACATGACCACAAGAACTGAGTATCAGCTGTGGGATTACACACAGTGAGCAGAGAGAGTGGCCGTTTCTCAATGTCGAGTAAAGCTGCTCCAGAGCCACTATTTCAAGCATACTACGTCATCGAGTGACACCGAATCACTGTTTAAATGCCCAGCATACATGTGCTACCAAGCAAGCCTCCTTGACATTGAGAAATTGCGTGTGTGTGTGTCTGTGTGTGAGAATGGTTCCCCTCCACCTGCTGGCAGACAGCAACACAGCAGTTTACTGTTGGCTGGAACGATGGGATGGATCCGTCTGCAGGCATCCAAAGTTAACACTCCACTTTCATTACTATTGCCAAGAGTTTTGCTAACTGGTACTATGTGTTTTACTTCCTGGTACTATGTGTTTTATTTCCTGGTACTATGTGTTTTACTTCCTGGTACTATGTGTTTTATTTCCTGGTACTATGTGTTTTACTTCCTGGTACTCTGTGTTTTATTGAGCCATACTTTCTTATGGATTTGTTGAAAATTCAAAAGATAAAGGCTTATCCATTAACACTGTACCAATGAATATCATTGAAATGTTATAGGCTGCAGTACCTCATCCTGCAGCTCCTCCTCCCCCTGCAGGGGCCCCTCCCCGTCCTGCTGCACCTCCTCACACTCCTCAACTCCCTGCACCTCCTGGAGAAGGAAACAGAACGTGATCATGAGAGACCTGCATGGAGCTTTGCATCAACCAGCCCTTTATATAGTCACAATCTCAGCACTGACTAAAAATGGCTGAGCATAGCATTGAAATCCACCAATGAAGTGTTGTGTTGGAAAATACTGGAATCCAAATATCCCATGAACCTCTGGTGAAGGGTGTGTCCTGCTCTGCTCCATGGTCTCCACCTTCAGCTGCTGCAACGCCGCCTCCAGCTGCACAGGGTCTGCACAGGCCCCCTCCATCTGCCCCCGACCCTGCACACACACCGGCACACACACACTTGGATTATTGGATCGACTGAAAATGTTTGGCAGGGAAAAGGTTAGCACAGAAGCTAGTTTCTAAGATCAGTGTAGTTCAGGTCATGGGGACACAGTGTGTGACATCACCTGCTGGATAATAGCAGGGTTGTCTTTGCTGAAGGAGGGCGAGCGGGACGGGGTCTCTCTCTTCTTCTCACGGAGTGACGAGGCCTCCTGGTTCCTCCTCATTCTCTCCAACTGCTCCTCCACACTCATCCGTGTTCGGCCCCCCTCTCGCTCCCCAAAGCTGGTCTGATCCACCGCACTGCGGGGCCGCTCCTGTGCAGGACCGCAGCCAGGATCAGCTTCTGTCTCTCTGGGCGTTAAACTCTGGGTCTATACAATATGCTGGCTTATGTTAATCAATCGGCTATTACCCAAAGGTATCTAAGAAAGTAATGGCTGAATTCCCATGACATACAGTACCAGTCAAAAGTTTGGACACACCTTCTCATTCGAAGGTTTTTATTTATTACATTAGTTTCCACATTAATACATTAATAATGAAGACATCACAACTATGAAAGAACACATATGGAATTATCTAGTAAACAGAAAAGTGTTAAACAATCCAGAATATGATTTATATTTTATTATCTTCAAAGTAGCCCCCTTTTGCCTTGATGACAGCTTTGCACACTCTTGGCTTCTCTCAGTCAGCTTCATGAGGTCGTTCAAGGCAAAAGGGGGCTACTTTGAAGATAATAAAATATAAATCATATTCNCAATACTACACTATACTACACTATACTTACTATTACCCTGTGTAGCTGCAGACCGTGAGTGTCACGGGCGCCTGACATGCATTACAAATGAGACTAGGCCAATGAAATACAACACCGTCTATAAAATTCATTCGAAAGAATTTGCGATTACAATATGAATCAGTCTAACGGAGACTCTACCCTCCCTATAAGATAAGTAAAGTGCAAGTGTGTCAGCCAACTAAAGAACGGCCGGCAGAAAAGGAACGTTGGCCGTCAAAAAAGACAATAAAAAAGAGAATTAAAGGAAGAAAAGACGACATTATATTGAACTAGCGAAATTTGAGGCGTGTGACTCGAGACTAACGCAGTCGGTCCGCCACGAAAGTGTGACTCAACTAGAGAATAGGACCTCGGATTGGACGAGGCCTGTGTACCGATAGACAAGTCTGTATTCAATGGTACCTCTAGATCGGGCGATTCTTCACTTGGGTCGCAGCATCCTTGCCCTTTGAAGTCTCAAAAGGGGACTTCAATCGAGCGATTCACTTTAGGCCGAAGCATCATGCCCGGAGACCAGATGAAACACTTAAACTCGTTAATCACAAGATAATTCCCGTGTAATTCCGTTTTTATCTACCTGTACTTACCCACTGTAGTCCGTACCTCCTTCCGTCAGTCTTCGGTCTCCGTCGACTTCCCCACACTCTTGTGGTGTGTGTGTGTGTGTGTGTGTGTGTGTGTGTTGTGTGTGTGTGTGTTGTGTGTGTGTGTGTGTGTGTGTGTGTTGTGTGTGTGTGTGGTGTGTGTGTGTGTGTGTGTGTGTTGTGTGTGTGTGTGTGTGTGTGTCTGTCGTGTGTATGGACAAAGTCATCACCACAAACCACCCGCTCGACCAGTCTAGAACGAGAGACGAAAGTAGTAGGAGTTTTCCTAAATGTTAAGAGTTGTGCGACTCGAAGGCGTGTGTGTCCAGGTGATAGTCGGTGGGAGCACTGAGTGTGTGTCGACTTTGTGTGTGTGGTTGTGTGTGTTGTGTGTGTGTGTGTGTGTGTCGTGTGTGTTGTGTGTGTGTGTGTCTTTTGTGTGTGTGTGTGTGTCGTGTGTGTGTGTTGTGTGTGTAGTGTGTGTGTGTGTGTGCCCCTAGTAACACACATGACAGTACACACATACACACCATACGCTCTATACTTAAAACGGTACACGTACACTACAATATATTACACTAGAACCGCTTGTGACACACACATCACACACAAACACACACACAAATTTTTGTTACCATTTAATCTACTTATAAAACAGACTTATGGTAAGTAGACCTGTACTTACTATTTTATTGTTATATGTCTACATAGTAAAATAAACTTATTCTTTTTTTATTATCGAAAATATATATATATAACATTATGTTCTTTCTAAAGAAAAAATTTACTTGATGACTCCACTTATTCAAACAAATCATTATTACGTCACTGCAGAAGACGACACCTCACTTCCACCTCACAGGGTAGATACAACGACGTCTATCCGGACACTTCCAGTCCTCTATGTCCTAATCAAAAATCAAAAAAAAGGAAAAGTCCGATCGGCTGTCGCCGCATGTGTGAAAAGAACAGGGTCTAATGTACTGGTGATTCTTTACTCATAGTCTACACCTAATGTGTCGTCACTCCGTCTCCATCACCACGCAACTACGAGTTACAGCTCATTTCCGGACGAAGTCTCCGTGATAACTGACGTATGATGCAGTGCTCAACTATGGCTTAGTGACAATTATACGACGTAGTTCATGTACACGATGAATACGTTGCAGGAGCGACACTACGTAACTCTTTAACGCACACACACACAGACACGACACCTCTTAACCAAGGGAGAGGTGGACGACCGTCTGTCGTTAAAGTGAATATACCAGTCAATGACAAACCGACCTTCTACCCTCACTAGAGACAAGTACGTCCATAAAAGCGTTTCAACAACTCTGTGAACCAGTGAACAGTAATACAGACTGCACAAATCTGCCCGAAGTATAGTATACAATACATCTAATTTTAAAAAAAAAGTGGATCGTACATAATTTACTTTCCACTGATACACCAAATATGACCTATCTCACAAATTAAGGACCTACAAATTTTCAAAAAAGAATTAAAACAGATTATACTACAACCTGGGAAAGGTAATTCTAATTACTACGTACGACTGGTGCTCACAGTCATCTAGACACGACAAACACAAAAACCATGTCACTGATTATGTTGGGTTCTAAGTTACCACTCATTGAATCTACCCCCGACCATTCAATTCCAAACATCCGTATCACCTGTTAATCTCTTCTCGCAAACAAAACCAAAACCAGTACGATATCTTTATAGTGAACATACAACACCCAAGCATCAGCCTATACCACTCTAGACTATAAACTCAAAAGTTTAAAACTTACCCACAAACTGGAAACAGAAACACATGACACTATACCTCGAAAGTCTATGTCCCTTACCGCCGCTTGGCTCCCCCCCTCCTCCTCTCCCCTCCCTCTCTTCTCCCGACTTTCCCCCAGACCTCTCTTTTTCTGTTTAACAACGGAACACTCCCTCAATGTGGTATTCTTCGGGTAACCATACAAGTCGGACCGGTATAAATATAATATTATCAGGTATAACTTTAAATGTTAAACCAAACTGTTGAGAAACAACTTTTACTTCCTGAGACGTAGACGAGCACATTATACTACTTGCACCTTCCCAGTCTCGACTCGAGTATAAAATCTCATTTCCTTACACCATAGGACGGTATGTGCGAGTTACACCCTATAAAATCCGACATACGAATATTAGAATTCCTATCTAAATAAACAATCTTTATAAAAATTTTAATGAAAAGTTAATTAATAGTCTGTCCTTCAGAAAATCTAAATCACCTAAACCTATTGGGATTCCATACCTGTACATTAATTTCTATTATCTAGACCATTGTCCCCTATTACATTAAGGTTAACTTTTACTCAACCACCACACTACTACTTTTTCACCTACAAACACACCATAATTTATTACGATCTAGTCAACACTAGACACATAGGTACTTTACAGCTTAGACCAGTTTGACGTAATGGTATATGTTTATCTAACCATTAATCAATAAAACTTTAAAAATTTACCATTAATAAACAAGGAAACACATAATATTTATCATTTATTCTTCACCTTACCAAACATTCAAAATATGTATATACTTCAACTTACCTTATGCTAACTTAAAACGACGATTAGTCTGCTTTCAACCTCACACATTACTCAAAAGACAAACACACTCACCTAACAAGTAATTTAGGCACACACTATTTATGTCCTTAACTTGTATAGACCAGAGATATCCACTAGAGTTTTCAAGTGTCTTGTTCCACTTTCACCCCTTTACTTACTAAAACTAACATTAACCTCTGTATTTCACTAATACACAACACACAATATTATGAGTGTTCTTAATAAAAAACTTTAACCAACTAATTCACTCGATTCGCAAGCATTAAGTAGTACTAATAACACTGCTTTCATCATTCCTACCATACCTCCTTCACACTGATATCTGACTGACGTGATTCCTCACAATTCACTTACCCAATTTCCTTATCTGAGTCAGCTGAGCCGTATCTGGCCGTGCAACACTTACAGTATCACATACTGTATGCAGAAGTATTATTTTAAGCAACACATTAAGTTGACGAAACACTTGAGTCAAATGTAATTAAAGTCAGATCGTGTCTTAGACGGGGCTTCATATCATAAACCTGTTAATGTACGCATTCAAACACTTTTTCTTTCACCAGCTGTATTCACCTTGCAGGTGCAACTATGTGGCTTTTATCCTGGATAAAGTGTTTAATTCATGGATGTTTAAAGTTTAACTTCTTCATATTTGTCTAATATCATAGTTGACCTTTCATTCAGGAAATATGATGTGCTGCGCTGTCAGTACGCTTGTCCATGTTTGTGATTGGTCGAATGCTCCAAATACCACCCCTTTCATGTGAACGCACACCTAACTAGATAGGACACGGCTGGCTTAAGTTAACGAGTTGATAGCCAGCATCGTAGGACCACTTAGCGAGAGCGCGTTTGTTTTGGATTAGGTCAAACTGCTAACTCAAACATATCCTGAATATGTTGAACTGGATTCGTAGTACAGGCCTCTGGTGAGATCAATGAACTTATTTGAAAAAAGTTATTCAACATTTTGAAATGGGTGTTGACTTTGAATCCTTGTGCTCCTGCTTATGGAAGCTTTCAGACTCCGGAGCCTGAGACCCCGAGCCCGGAGCCGAGGGAGGAGGAGGCCGAGGAGAGGCAGCAGAGAGAAGAGGAGCTGAAGGAGAGGCTGACCGCAGACCACAAGAAACACAACAACAACAACATGTTGGCTTGTGAGTGAAGACTCTCCATCGCACACGCATCTGTGTCTGTACACCTGAGACCATATTTAAATCTTAATACAACATAGTCAAATATTGAAACTAAATTTCCCTTTTGGTTGCCTCACTTTGGCCTTGAAGGACTCTGACATTAGCACGCTATCTGCTGAAACAGTGCAGGGTCGACGCTGAGAGCATCATATTTAGAGCTAAGGACATGTGGATATCTCCAATCACTCATGTGGGCCTCATTTTAGGCTGATGCTTAATAATCTTAAAATAATTAATATGTTAAAAATATTTTTTAAATTCCTTTTCACAAACAATAATATATCAGACAAGGCAGAATAAGACTTTTAAAG